ATTCATATATTGTTAATAATTTTTTTATATGTATTTTTTAATAATATATCTTAAATTATAGGAATAGTTTTTAAGTTTTTATTTATTAATTAATATTTTTAATTAAATAAATTACTATTTATATATTAAAATAATTAATTTAAATTATTATATATTTATTATCATAACATAAAAATATAATATTTTTAATTATAATTTTTTTATTTTAATTTTAATATATAAATATTTAAAAAAAATAAACAAAAAGTAATAAACTCATGAACTAAAATTACTCATTTGCATCACATTTTTTAGACATACTAAACCGACCGGCCGTATTTTATCATCTAATAAATATTTTAATATATTGTAGTACCAAAATTCATTCAACTAATCTATCAAATATTTATTTTATGTAATATTTAATAGATTGGATTCTTGACCACATATTTAAGGAATATAATTTTTTATGACTTACAACTCACTTTATTCCCATAGTTATGTAAATTTATATTTTTATCATTATAAAAATTTAATTGTACATTTATTTCTTAAATTTTTTAAAACTCTACTGCGTGAAAACTCTATTACTGAAATTGAGGAAAGCAAATGAGACAACAGCTTTTCAGAAACTAAGGAGGCAATGCAAAACAATGCAACTTGGATTTTTCTAAATTTGTCTTCAACATGTTATTATGTTCCACCACATTTAGGGCTACTTCTTCCTGTCATTTCTTTAGTTGGGAAAATGTGAATAAAAATTTCACATCACCTATCTTAATATTCTAAATATAATTTATATATTACTTTATCTAATAACAATTGATTTTATGTTAAAATCTAATAAATATATAAATTTTATATTTATATTTTAATTTTCATCTTACTTATATTTTTCAAATCGTTCGCTTACATAATTATGCTAAAATTTAAAATTTTTTCTCTCCAATTTTTAAACCCTCTGCATAAGAATATACTATTAAGAAAATGATTTAATCTTCTAGCAAGCGTACTCATTAAAAAAAAAAAAAACAAAAAAAAAAACAAACAAACACACATCATTGTCAATCTTTCTTTCCAATTAATAATACATGATTTTATATTATCGAATATCTTCTATTTCAACATATTTTAAGAATTTTTCAATAATTAATTACGCATAAACATTTTTCTCAAATATTGCATACTTTTATATTTCTTTAAATTTAAAAATACTTGCATAATACACATGTTATGAACTTAAGAATAATTCATTAGCTGTAAAATAGATTGGAATTCACAAGATATTGAGGCAATTAAAACAATAATGGTGATTTCTTGAAATCTCATCAATTCACATCCCTCAATCATGGCCCTTCTCAATTATTTATGTCCCCTGTGTTGTGGAGTGTCTTTATCAACTCAAAACTAGATATGATATAAGGATGAAGCAGTGAATATCAATAATGAAGATATTTGTAAAATAATTATAGTGCCAATAGAAAATAGAAAATAGAAAAAAACATGCTTAGTAGGATTTGATTCCCTTCACTATGTAGGGAAATGATTTTCTTAAGAAAGACAGAATCACTTTAATGATTTTTTTTTAACAAATTTTTTGTTCGAATAAGAAAAATAAAAATATTTTAATCGCGTACGCACGTGTTCATGTTCGCCGACAAATAACTAACTCCAGTGTGATGTAAGTAAAATCATTAAGAATGTATATACATATTTAAACATATCTCAATTTTTTTTAATAAACAAATTTAGGTAAGTTAGTGTTCAATTTATCAAGATTAGGTTAGCTTTTCGTGACTTAAAAGAAATATTTAAAATGAAGTTTTCATGTTATAGTAGAACTTGAATTTGCATCTTTATGAAATATTTAGGTTTATGAGAAATGTTAGAACTCTTTGTAAAACTCCGTTTTTTTAAAAACTCTTTTTTTATTATTGAAATTTAGTCACATTACAAATTTTTATAAGTTTTGTTTTTTTATTTAATGACCCTAAAATAAGAAGTGAGACCCTTTAAAATATATGATTTTCTAATCAATTTTGAATAATAGAAGTGTTAGAAAAAGAGTGTAAGAGAGAATGGGGTTAATATTCTTCTTAAGTCTAAACATCCTTATTAGCAAGATAAGCTTTCGTTATCATTTAACCATATTCATGTTCACATAAATTATGTTGGATTTGAAGATAAGAAGACAATGATTTATGTTTTATGAGTTTAACTAAGTAGCTTTTTTCAAGTTTCTTTCATGTATGACACTTTCTTTGATATATATTCTGTTGCAAACGGTATACATATAGCATCTACATATGTCAAAAATTTTATTGTGAATAAAATAAAAAAAATAGTTAAGTAATTTATAAATGAAAAATTAATATAAATTAATATTTTTAAGAAATTTAAAATTAAAAATAATGTGATATTCTTTTATATGATTGACTCGTATTCTATTTATAAGAATCTTTCATTTATAAGAATCTTCGTTATTTTTTCAATGTTAAGTCCTTTCAAAAATAATCGTAGAAAATATTAGAATTGATGACTCAATGAAATTAAATGAACAATTCTTGTTAAACTTCCTTCAAAAATACCTATCAATATGTCTCATTTATAAGAATATTTCCAATTTTTTATATTAAACCCCTAAAAAATATCTCTCACTGATATGAGGATTAATAGTTTATATAATGAATGAGTTAGCTAGGACAATGAATCCCATTAAACTCCTTAAAAAAATACCCATCAACATGCTATGCTTACATTAACGATGGAGTTGGGCGTGCAAATTTGTTTGTTTATTGCAAATTCAACGAAGCATATATGGATACCTTTGATGAAGATTTTAGTGAAAAGAAAAAAACTTTTTAAGCGAAAATTTCGTTTAAAATTTTGACATATTCTCCTTTATGTTTTTTAATTATTATTGTTAGTTAATATGTATTTTGAATTTTGTTTAACATAAATATGATAAAAGGTATATATATATATATATTTATTTATTTATTTCTTCATTAGAAATTCTAGTAAATTATAATCTTTGTTTTATTTTGCTCTATCCTCCCTTACATTTTCATGTCAACTTTTACTACTACAAGGAATTTACATTGTTAATTATTCTTTATAACAGTTAAAGAATTAAAGAAATTGTCGTTGATATAATTGCATTAAAGAGTAGATGTTAACACTTATTATTAGTAAATGTAGAACATACTATGATAGTTGAAATAATATCATTTTGTATGTTTTTTTTAATTATTTCAACAATCATATCAATGACTATGTCAATAATGATCCACTTATAAATTTAATATTTTCTTAACATTGTATATATTTTTTGAAAAAAAAAATGATAATGAAAACCAAATTCTTAAGAGAAAGGAGATTACAAGAAGCAAAGAGGTACGATGATGCCACAACAAGGAAAACAAATTAAAACAGATTAAATATGATTTAAAGAACAATTATTTTAGAACCATTATCATCCTATATAAAATAATAATTCTAAAAATAATTGTTAAAATTTTTAATTTAATTATAAAAATATAATAATTTTTTCAATAATTTTAAAATAATCTCCACTAAAAGATATTATTTTAAACATATTTTACAATAGTGTGTAGCCTTAAACCCTAGACAACAAGTATATCATAGATGTGGGAAAATAAACAAAAATTAAACATTTAGAATTGAGTAATTTTGATCATATCCTACCTTGTCATTGAGATCAATTATTCCATTCCAACAATTCAAGTCACTAATGGACAGTGACAGATCTTCTTAGGAGTTGAAGGGGGCCGTGACCCCTCCAAAGTTTTATAACTCTTATGTAATTTATGATTTTTGCCTCCCCAAACTTAATGAACATTTAATATATTTACTTGTATATTTACAATTTTATCCTCTCAGTCCCTCCTCAGTTTTGTAACTCTCATATAATTTATGATTTTGTCCCCCTCAAACTTAATGATCATTTAATATATTTAAGTATATATTTACAATTTTATCTTTTTACCCTTTCATCTTCTTACTTCATTTTATATTTATTTATTATTTATTAATAATATATTATTTGGCCCCTCCGAAATCAATGATCAAGATTCGCCATTACCAACGGATCTCTTATGTTAAATCATATGATCTTATATGGCATATATCACAATTTTTACTGGAGAATTGTTCTTACCTCATAGATATTATATATACACACATTATTTAAAAAAAGACACTGTTTATGTAAAAAGGAGAGAAAAGTTTAATTGTCATATTTTATCATAAATAATGGACAAGACTAAAACACAAAATTGATGCAATCTTTTTAAAAATCACAAGACTTTTCTAAGTGATAATCAAGTGGTTTTGAATTTTGATTATTTTGTATGACTTAATATTTATTCCAATCACTCTCACACTGTATGTATGTATAGGGGATAATTTCGACCAACTACAATATTGTTTAATACTTTTTAGTTTAATATAATGTTTTTTTTAAATTATTGTTAAATTGAAAATATTTTTTTTATGTAAACTAAAGTTACAAAATTTAATATTAATTCATAACAATTTAACACTTCATTCATATAAATTAAAATTGATATAACATATATTTTTGGAAATGTTTGAAAATATGAATAATTTGGTTTTCTTTAATGCAGAGCCTCTCACAAATTGACCTACTAGTTTATATATAACAGTATAAATCATTGAAAAGGAAAAATAAATAATGTAGTTAACCAAAAGTATGATTTGTTGAAAACAAAAAACGACAAGAGGAAATAATATAAAGAAAGAGAGCAATAGAATTAATGTCTGAGTATACTGAACAGAAATAATATAATAAAATTATAAATTAACAAATGGTACATATATATATATATATATATATATATATATATATATATATATATATATATATATATTAAAGGATCACTATCTCCATCTACAAATGCTAAATGTATTTATATATATAACCTTTCCCACCCAAAAAATAATATTAATACGAAAAAACCTAATTAACAACACTGATATCACTTGAACAGTAGCCCCAACCATGGAACAACCCGTCCAAATCCAAGCACGTGACTTGCCCCCTAAAGCTAAACACCATTATCACGTCACACACCAACAATTTTCCGTAATTCACGATATATGAACCACAAGATATGTATATATATAAATATGTACACATTTCACTTTTCTTCTCCTTCTTCTTCTTCTTCTTCTTTTTCATAACAAGACCACGCTATTATTGTCAACCTCGAATCTCATTCCGTCGACCATGTTGGAGGCTACGCCATCATGGAAGCTATTTTCTTCGAGGTCCATGTCCCATAGGAACCCATAGCCATCATCACATTTGGGACTTATTTGAGTAATGGAACTGGAGTTTGGATTTGTTTCCCTAGAAAAGTGAAGGAGACCCATCAACGAGTTGTTGTTTTGGTTTTGGTTTTGGTTTTGGTTCTGGTTTTGATGATGATGATGATGGTGGTGGTGGGTTGTGATTGAGGAAGAGAAAGTGGGAAGTTGGTTATACCCAATGGTTTGGTTGGTTGGAGATGACGAAGCCAAAGTTAGGGATGGAACTGTGCTCTCATACATGAGTTGTGGGTTGAGTTTGGCACTGTTGTCTGCTTTGCCTTTGTGAGACACTCTACATAAAACCCAGTCCTCCTGCAATCAACAACAATTTTGACCTAATTACCAAATTTGCATGTCAACCCAAAATACACGCTTAAAGAATCTTTATCCTCACACCAAAATTACGCGCCAAAGACAACCATCTATTAACGAATATATTCTATTCTATCCATTCCAATCCAATTCAATCCTCTCTCTCTAAAGATGCTACACAATATATATATATATATATATATATATATATATATATATATATATATATATATACTTCAACTTTTTTCATACAAGCTTGGTTAAATGTTAAAAAAATGATTTTTGTTTAAAAAGTTGATAAGGGTTATTAGTCAATTCATCGTAGGCTGCTAATTAAATGAAAGGAAACTACAATGGTTAGCTTTGTATATCTTACGTGGGAACTTTTGCACCTGCCCTACAATCTCATACAATTTTCACTTGTTCTTATAGAACTGTGATTTTGTTAAATAAAAGCGACAGTTTTTTGATTGTAAAATACGTGTAAAATGAAAGATGATATTAATTAACATTCATTGCAGGTTTGAAAATAGAGGCACGTTATTACAGGAGAGGTGAAAAGAAAATGAACCTTAGGGGGCATATGTGGCGTCTCCAAACGAAACTCGTGCATGATCCAACCCGTTTTGATGCCATTTGGGGCCCGGTTCCTGTAGAACACCAAAGTCTTCCTCATCCCTACAACCTCACGCGTGGATGGGTCAAACACCGTACGATCCTTTCCCGTGGCTTTCCAATAGCCAGACGTCGTGGCGCGATTGGTCCGGTACCCGGTTGCATATTTGCGGTCACGAAAGCTGAAGAAGTACCATTCGTTTGCGTTAAGCTTAGCCACCTCTGCAGGGCACGCATGCATGAACACATGATGGGTCAGTTTTTGGTCGCAAATGGACAAAGCATGACTAAGGTAGGTACATATAAAAGGATAAAAATGCATAGCTTCATAGATAGATACAAATGTACTATCATTATGTACACTTAATTCTCTCCCCCAAATATAATCATTATCGTCATAATAATAATTAGGTCTTGTTGTAATCATCATCACATGTCACCTAGCATAGTAAATGTCATGCAATTTTCAATTTTCAATTTTCAATTTTCCAATCCAATCAGATAAACATCACCTTAACACGTACTTTTAATCTGTTTAATTACCACGTATATGTAATTGCGTCCCCTTTGAGGTTTCTCACTCTACTTTTTACCTTCCTTTTACCCCTTTTTACTCCACATCAATTTGTGGACTAAGTCATTACGTAAAAACAACAAGCACCATCCTTCATCATTCAAACCTCCTCTCATTCCCTTTTAGTTTATTCACTCAACATATATCGTGTGTTATTATTCATCATACCACTTATTCTGTGTTATTTTATAACACAAGAATCTTAGCAAGAGACAAAATCGTTTGGATAGTAAATAATCATGTCCTCGAAAAGTGAAGATACAATCGATTGGTTGGTCAATCTATACACTCAAAATCTTTCCTCTCTCATAAACTAGTCAATCTCTACACTTCAAATGTTTTGGAATTTAATATTTTTTTTTTCTTTGTTTAAAAAGCATGATACCAATCAATAAAATAATTGGTATATATATATTGTAAATTCAATAATTGAATTATTTTAACGAATGTAAATATATAGATGTTTCTTTCGCTTGATTATGAAAAAAAAAAACTAATAATTTTTTTTTTATTAACAACATATAGACAGATTAATTTTAGAGAATACACAGTTGTTTTTCTGAAGAAAAAGAAAAAAAAAAACATTATATATAAAATGTATTGCTATGTATATAATTGAAGTGACAACCGTTCTATACATGCATGAATCAGACCAGTTAATCCATGTAGAGGGCACCAATTAGTTGCATTGGCTGCAAGTTTAATGAGTAATATTTTCTTACTTTTCAAGAAACATATATAGCATTGGAACACATGATCGAGTGAAAGAAGAGATAACCAATTTTGTTGTTGTGAGTGTCATTACAAAAGTATGAAGAATCTAAGAAAACATCTAAAATGGACAACTGATTTGAGTGTAACTTTAATTACTGCAAAACATAAAAGGTACTTAAATGAATGATACTATTTATATATAATTCATTTATGTTCTAAACTACGAACTCATGATGAGCAAGAAGCCAAAACATTTACATATGAAACAAATCATAGTGGTGTGTTGCATGTGCATTTGTGTATTTATAGACATTCATGCAAGGAACAGCAAACAATGTTTGGTCTCAACGGTTTCGATACTGGTGCTGTAATGAACCATGCAATAGAGACGATATTTGCACATGAGAAGGACCCTCATGTATAGATATAGGCCATGCATGGAAATCACATTTGTTTTGAAACCAAAGGCAGATTGGACGAGATAATCGAAGGACAAAAAGTTAAGTATTGTACTCATACTTCAAGTGGGTATATTCACCACTCCTTGTAAAAGGTATAAAAGAAAGAAAATACTGAGAAGTTAAAATCACTATTTGTGGTGCTGTGGAAGAATTAATTAACCGCGGAAATAGAATGTTCAGTGAAAGTGTTTTGACAGAAGAAAGAAAATGATAGGAAAATGGCGTGTAAGGGAATAAACAGGACTAAAGAAAAAGGAATATAGAATCTTCACAGCAGGGAGACAAAAGTCTTCGTTATGATCTTCATATGGATATATTTGCGATAAAAAAATTGAACGTGTTTGTGACGCGCTTACAGCAAAAAACAACTATATACAAACTTCAAAAGGACAAAAGCAATTATAAAGGCTCATATAGTCATATGTATGTCAAGAAAAAGATGATTTCACACCCATCCATTTGGGTGTATATACAGTTCATAGCTACCATAAACTGATGCGAAAAAGAAAAAGAAAATATAAATAAGTAGAATAATTTTAAAAATTGTGAACATCAAGTTGATGAAGCCTTAGAAATCAAGTTGTGGTATATTATGTATTCCTATAAAGAACATGAATGATTATGTGACAAATAGTTATCGTGTTGTCGCTACCTTAATCATTGAAGAACTGAATAAACTATTACCCGAATAACATAACTGTAACACCCCTTCTCCAAGTCTTATCCGTTCAGTTTTTTTGTTCACAGTTTTGCCTCTTCTCGAGGCAAAGATCTGCTACTTTTCTATTGCTATATATTCCAAACATGCTCCTCTCTCGCTATGTTAATTTCTTGAGTCGTTTTGATCATATTGTTAACAAAAAAAGCTTTGAACATATGTTTTTTGAGTCGGTACTGAAGTTAGAAACACCATGCGAATGTGGAGTAACCATTGTGATGATTCTACTAATACAATCACAAAAGACGCAGAAAAGACGAATAAGATTAATCAAGAAAGATATTGTAAATTTAAACAAAAAGAGGCCATGCCATGCATGTAATGATTTCTCAAGAAGCATAACAAGATCAAGCAAGGATAATAAGTATATATACCTGGGAGTTGCCATGGCTCGCAAGTGTGCAAGTCAATTTCCATCAAGGTACCCTTGAGAACTTCTTCATTTGTGATCTTTTTGTAAAGGTAATGAAGGACCAACTCCTCATCACTCGGGTAAAAGCGAAACCCAGGGGGAAGTGAAGCACCAATGTCTCTAAGACCCATGAATTTGGTGGGTGTTTCTGAAGGAAATGATGAAGGCAGAGGAAGGTGAGGAAAAGCCAGAGAGAGAGAAAGAAAGAGGGAAATCTAAATGAGATATTTTTGAAATTTTAGATGAAAAGAGGCTTGTGGATATATATGATAGAGGTGGATATAGAAATGTGGAAAATCATGAATATATTGAAGCTTAAATTGAGAGGTTACTCCCTCTGGATATTTGAAATATTAAGGTATTATGGCAGAAAGGTTGGTATGGCGTATATATATATAGTTAGGATGATAAGAGACTTTGCCATATAAAATTTCTTTACTACACTATTCAGGCACGAACATGCTTGTGTAACTGGTGAGAAATATAGTAAGAAGTTTCAAGAAATACCAAAGTTACAAGAAAGCATCTAATAACTAATAAGAGTGGAATGATTGATTTATTTTCTGCAACAAATACGGGGAAAAGAAAAGAAAAAGAAAAAAACCATATGTAAAATTATTAGAGAAACCCTCCAAAATACCCCTTTTGTTTGCATTATTAACCTTTTATATGTATTTTTATATCTTCCACAAGAAGAAAAGGTTTTTTTATGCAGAGATATAAAAATAGAGTTTATTAATTTACTTTTTATATATCTTACTTGTTTGAAAGAGCTTAAAATTTTCATAAAGGAGAGTATCTATATATAATTAATCTAGTTTGAAATACTATAATTACGAGAATGATTTCGCTGTTGTACCGTATTTTTGTATCTATCCACTGACATGGCAATTCTGATAATCATTTTCAATTACTTTTCTTTAATGACGTTCATTGATGAACTTTGGTTGCATCTGGTTAAAGAAGTTTCGGTCCGAAATGTCAAGCAACGAGACCTCATTGGTAATAAGTCCAACACTTTTCCCGTTTTGTTTATTTTTAATTGGTTAACTAATGGTGTGTTAAGTATGTTTTATTAGAGTGCATTGAATCAAGGAAATTACTTGTGGATCGTCCCAAAATCACGTTTTTCGTTTTTTTCCTTTCAGTACTTTTGCGTGGCGCTCTTTTTGCATGTAGAATCTTTCTCCATGGCGCATATTAAAAAACTCTGCTCCACAAAGGACAAGGTTGGCTCTATCTATTTGTTTTATTGGTAGGTTAGGAAACACATAAAAATCCCATACACCATGCATATTTATGAAACTAAGCACTCATCATCATCATCATCATCAGCAGTAGCAGCAGCAGCAGCCATAGGGTGTATATAATTAATACGTTGATGCTTCCAGTTAATGAATGAAAGTATGAACCAAGATTTGATTAACCTCTTGAATAGTGTGGATAGAACATGGACAGCTCCGAGAAAAAAACACAGCAAATAATTCATGTATGGATAGCTGGAATTAGAATTTAATGCCAATCATGAACTTGGAAGTCCCATATGTTCCATTTTGGATCACTGAATTACAGTTTGGAACGATGTGCGTGCTGTGGGGCACCAGATTTGTCTTTCTTCTGGGGTCCTCTCGGCACCTAATTATAAGGCCATCTTCCTTTCTAGTTTATCTGAATTTTAATTTCCAATATGACACTTCTTTTTCTTTTCCTTTTTTTCTTCATTTTTTTTCATTTGTTTATCAGTGATGGGGGTGCTATGTGCTATAGTAGGAGCAATAATAATTTAGATGCAGACAAAAATGGTATTTGTCACAGCGTGTATCATCTAAATAAACTATGATAATGAAGGGAGTATATATGGCAGACGATGACTCAACTGGGGTCCCTCACCATCTTTTCTTCAACTATTTCAGATCATACACATACTTAAAATATAAACATATCTTCAACTATTTCATCATACATACAATTATTTACAAGAAAAAAAATCATTTATTTTATTTCAAAACAAGATAAATTCGTGTTAATTAATCAAGATTTGGAGAAAATAATAGAGGTATGAGGAGAGCACTGTATGTAGGACTGTGACCAAAAGAGAAAAAAACATAGTATGATCATGTACGTTTACATACGTATTAATTAAAACGACGGAGAATATAAGAAGAATGATACAGCAAGATTACTTGTGAAATTGGTCACTTTTGAATTTTTATATGGAGACGATATATATGAAGCTTTTTCGGCATTGCAAGAAATGGGAAACGAGTGGTCCCAAAGGTAAAGAAGTTCAGTGGGGACAAAACAGAGACGGTTATTGAAAGGGGAACTAAGGCCATATTCATTAATCGTGAAAAAAATATACATATGTATGATCCTGTCGGAGAAACAGTGCCATGTAATTTAAGAATAAACCATATTATGTGTTTGGAATGATTAATTAACCAGATAAGTATAGAGATTAAGCAATAAATGAATGGGTAGAAGAAAATGCTAATTAATTAACAAGTTCGAAAGACATGATTTATATATATATATATATATATTGGTGGAAGTGTTACGCAAAGTGAAAAGAGTGTTTATTTGGAGCAACATGGATAAGTTGTTTAATTAACGATGAGATGTGTTATTTTCCCTTAGGGCTAAATCAACGGGGAGTAGAGGGTGCGTTGGAGGACACACACCACATGTTGAAGGTACACGTCATTCATTTATAAGTAGAAGATTATTCTAAAATAACATAATTATTTTTATGAGTATCCCTTATGATAGAGGGTGATATAAATGATTGTGAAGGTTAGGGTTTTTGTCTATGGATGGAACTTTGTTAGGTGAATGAGAGGAAGATCGATGTTGGAGAATGAGTGACGGCTTCATATTCCTTCTCTCCTCTCTTTCAGGGCCAATTATTTCTTCCCTACTTCTTTCCAATATCTCTCTTTTAAGTCTGTTCTTTTCCCTTACTTTATTCATTAATATACACTTTATCATCACTATCTTCTTTTATTTGTTTTTTTTATTTTATTTTTTATTTATTTATATATACATGCCTCTAATTAAATCTTCATGAATTATTTAATTACCCAAATTATTATTATTATTATATATCATTATTGTTTTTTGAGTTCTTCATTGGCCTAACTATTTCATTTCATGATGATGTAATGTTATTACTTCCGCAAGAGCCCACACATATTACTGTATTTGTATTTTTATGTTGAGCCTAAAATTAGCATTTGAAAAACATATTTCAATGATTATTCCATGAATTGCATGACCACAGAAAACCTTTTTACTGTTTTCTGCTGCTTACTTTATTAAAATACTGTTTTGTACCCAATTAATTAACTACCTATAGAGCAATATGTTGCATCGTTACGACAATCTTCTCTCTCTTCATCCTTTTTTTTTATAATATTCTTCTTAACAAATTCTACCCCACCTCCACATTTTAAAGGATAGTGATTTTTAATCTCTAAATTTTATTGTAATCTCTCATGTGGGTTATATCTATAGTTTTTAGCTAAATAATCCACAAGTTACTTTTGTTGTCTACTGAATTTTTTGTTTTGCTAAGGTCAACTTTTCCAATCATAAAATTTAAAATATCATAACATTAAATTATAAATTATCTATATATGAATAAATTTTAATGTACAAATAATTATTTTATTGATCAAAGTGAAAAGGTATCGATACCCTTTATATTCAAGTGTCATATAAAAAGATATTGATACTTCCTGGAATGTAAGTGCAAGTGTCTCATGCTTTTATTGATTCCAAAGGAGTCTCTACTAATTCATATAAATTAAACTAAATATAGGACTTGGGATAAACTTATTACAATTTAGTTAAAATATGTTGATTATTTCCATATTATTTTTTAATTTATAGATTAGTAAAGAAGAGAGTGATCTAACTCAAATACAAATCTTTATAAAAAAAATAAGCTACTAATTAACCATCTATAAAAATTTTGTTTATGAAATAAGAAAGGAACTGTGATACCATGGATTCAAGATTTTTGTAACCCTCACCTTTAGTGAGAAGTGCATCCTGGATCTGAAATTTCCCAGATTAACCACTATTAACTGATATAGAATAAGTTATTTGGCAATAGAAAAGAACGATTGATAGCAATTAATCGGATTCAAGATTATGCTGAAGCAGAATGAATAATAAATTATTAAGATAACGTTTCCTGAACAACTTTGAGCAAAAATATGGGCATCTTTTGAACTTGTATCACAACACAGGGTTCTTTTGGAAAGATGAGTATCTATTCACTTTATATAACGCGCTTTTTTGAAAATTTTGCTGTTTTCTTGATTAGATCGTGAGTGCATAACTGGCCATTACTTTTACCCAACATTATCATCACCAAAGTAACGTGCTTTCTTTTATAAGAATCAACCCAAAATCGTACTTGGGATTCAACAAAACTTCCTCTCTTTCTCTCACGAAAGTAACCAGTTCTTTCCTTTGGGTGATTTGTATTGTGTGTACTTCCATAAAAGCTTCATAGTTTATCAACCATGTTATTCCTCCACAACCAAAAAAAATGCTTTAAAAGTGCAAGCTGATGTTTATATATTTACCAAAACTCGAAAAATATGAATTAACATTCCTTTTTCCAAATCCATAGCCCCACTAAAAATTTTCCACAAATTAAGAGGTAAATTACAAAGTTAATCAATTCGATAAACTTTAATTACAAATTTTTTACGTACGTATCTAATTAAATCCTCTCATAATTACCATTATCTATGAAAAGAAGCAGCTAGATTTAGAATCTTTAGCTATAGCTCTTTGTCAAAAAGCTTTTGAAATAGCATGCCTTTTATTTGTTTAGCAACATTGCAAGGAAATCCACCATCATAAGGAATTTTACAGAGCACAAAAAAATAACTTATTATTTGTGAATGAGATCGATGGCTCTCTTCAATGGATAAACGATTCGTCAGACCCACGATTTTGAACTTTATGTCATTTTCAATTTTATTATATTGCTACAGTCCATTTGAAAATAAGAGTTAATATATACATATTTATATGCATATATACGTAAATGAAAGAACATCGAAAGATTCTTCTGATAACTTGAAAATGCAGGAAATTGATTTCCACAAGTATA